TAAAAGAAAGGGTACAGCAGAGTAGCAGCGGCAGCAACGACGGCGGTCCCGCGGTGATCCAGCTCTCGTTCGCGCTCTTTCCTGCGCGAGATCGAGATCTCGAGGAGGTGTACGAATCCCGTGGCGGAGGGCGCGCCAACAAAGCGCCAACAAACCCTTAAAACCCTCCCGGACCGGTCCGGGATTCAGCGCTTCACTCGGATTCAGCGCTCTTTATTTCCGACTCGACACCGCGAGCACCGAGATCGCATCGTCGGTTAATAAGCGATTCCATTAATTTAATACGCGAGCGTACTCGGATAAGCGAGCACGGGGCCGGACGCAGGTACGTGATTGCGAATCTCGTTTACTCGAATACTCGTTTCGGATCGATCGGGGCCTATATCGATCAGTCACACGAAATGATAACGGTCGACGGCTTCATGAATCACGACGGGCGCGCGCGATATACAAGTGCATTGTGCTCTGGCATTCCTTATCGCGAAGTTACATGCTCGAGCTGCTTTTCGCGCTCTCGAATTTTCCGCCGCTCCGTCCCGGGAAGCCGGCGAAGATTTTTCAGCCGTTCGGGCTGCATCGCGGCGCGCGCCCGATCCGGCGTAATCGAGTTTCTCGCGGCGACTGATACGCGCGATAGGATTAGACGGGAGAATTCAATTTGTTAGCTTCCACACGCCTCAAATGTCATCGCCGCGATGTGCGCTGGGAAGATCGATTATCGGCGGGCGCGACCGCTGCTTCAAACAGCTGGGAAATCTGACGGATTTTACGCGACGTGAAGTCTTCGTTCGCGCGCATCGATGTTCGGGCTCGCCGGACGCCGTTCGCTTCGCCAGAACAATGCGATACGCTTGGTTATACTCGCCTGCTCGGTGCAACCTGCAGGAATTCGTGCGTTAAAATAGAAACACGGTCAAGACGATAAATACGTATAAAGCTGTGGCCGTGAAGAGCCTGTGTCGCGGAAAAGGAGAGTGAACGAACGAGGGAGGAGCTGGTGATGGCTTCGCGGCTCCGCGGGAGGATTCGCTTGCGCAACTTTGCGATTCGATTAGCATGTGCCGCGCGCGCGCGTACTAATGAGCGCAGAGATTTGAATATCCGAGTTCGAAGAACAAAGACCGCGCAACGATCACTTTATCGCTAATATCGGCCGGCTGCGTCAGGTATGCGCGCTGTGTGGGCGCTGCCGAACGCATTGTATCTCGCTCTGCCAGTGTTTCTCAACCGCGATGGCCGCCTTGATTCAGCAGTCGTGCGTTTACGCTCGATATTTCGTTCGTCAAGGCAGTCCCGCCTGTCCAGATCTAAGAAGGTCCGACGATGAAGCGACGCGCGTAATCAGAGTCACGATTCATTTTCCGCGCGTGTCGCAAGAGGACGCCCTCCGCCGTGGGAAAAGAACGGCGCGATTAAAGTCGTCCTTTCGTACTTTCGACTGCCGGCGAGAATTACCCTCTCCCGTTATTGCGTTATAGTTTGATGACGCAGATTGCGTTCGATGCGATAACTTTGCCGCTTAATTTTAACGACGTAACGCGTAAAGCCCTTGGCTCGTTACTCCGCGATTTAATTGCATTTTCCACGGCGCTCGGCGGCGCATACGGCTACGATCATATTTCCCAGAATCTCTCTCCCTCTCTCTTTCCCTCTCTCTTTCCCTCTCTCTCTCTCTCTCTCTCTCTCTCTCTCTCTCTCTGTGTGTGTGTTCAAGCTGACGGATATTTTCTCGCGATTGCTTTCCAAGAGAGATCACCCCGTGAACTTACTGGCGTGACGCGGAGATGACAGTGTTTGGGCGGATTGGCAAATTCGCTAAATCGCTTTTCCTCCTTTTGGGCCCGACTGTAGCGAGTCTGCGCCGGTGAATTTCTACGCTCTCCTTACATTCCTGCGGCTTTGCTGATTGAGGAAATTTCCTTCTTGTTGGACCTCAAAGGGATCTGTTTCGTTTCGGGGCGCGTTTCGGTTACGCTCCAGAAAGTTGATCTCTCGAGGATCAGGATAAATGTGAGCACTTTAGTCTGAACAAATTTCATATAATTCTCCAGTATTCTCTCTCTCTCTCTCTCTCTCTCTCTCTCTCTCTCTCTCTCTTTCTTGTGAGTGTTTCCTGTGCTCGTTTAATACACAGTTTCGAAGGACCGACACGAAAGGTTTCGTAGCCTGGAGATTTCGCATGTGCAATGACAGCGCGTTAGACGAATGACAGCGAATCGAAGGCCAAATCATAGGTGCAAAGCCGCGCTTCGGGGAAGGTATAGCGATCGCTTGCAGGAGCGATCGCTCATTCACAATCGGAGGAGCAATTATCGAGGGCGAGCGGGAACGAGCGGAAGAACGTTATAACGAGCGGCTTTTTAATATCAGAGAACCCGATTGCTCGCCAGCGCGATTTTCAAGTTGCCGGCGTCACTTGTCCGCCTGCCGCCTATTGAACAAACGGCGAGCACGACTTGTCGAACGACGTGCTAAACGCTCGGTTTGGCCGTGTTCAACGATTCGGCAAATTCGGCTGAAAGAGAACGCGGCCGCTCCGAAGCGGGAGCGGGAGGAAGGGTCGGGAACCCCGTCGTTTCGACATCGTGTTCTATGCGACTGGTCCCGAACGGCCGGGGACGAGGGCTTGTTTCTGTAAGCCGTTGGCCCGGTAATTGATGCCCGCTGCGGAGAATCCATCGTAAAGTACATGTACGCGAGCGCAAACACGAGAACGCAAACAGCCGCTGCATAATCTATGCGGGGCGTGTTGCATCTCTTTGATTCCGATAGCGCTCGTTCGCTCGCTCGCTCGCTCGCTCTCTCTCTCTCTCTCTCTCTCTCTCTCTCTCTCTCTCTCTCTCTCTCTTTCTCTCTCTCTCTCTCCCTCCCTCTCTCTTTCTCTTTTTGTTTTTCTCGCAGGTTCGCTGTTCGTCCGCTCGTTCGGCGAGCGACGTGACGGAAGAATCTTCCGATCGGCGAACACGTGAGATCAATCCGCGCCGAGACCGGATCGCGCTCACTCCTTGAGGAATTCGCGATTCGCGGCGTCGAGCGCGAGAAGAGCGTTTTATACAATCGAGATATCCCGGAGGCAGAGGAAAAACACGCGAATCCCGATTCCCCCGGTGTTGTATTCTCCGTGAAATCACGAGTGTGCTGCTGCTCGCGGCCAAAAACCTAATGATCCGGAGACCATGTTTGATGTACGAATTCGCGGATTTTTCTCCGATCGAATATTGATTTCAACGCTTCTCTCTCTCTCTCTCTCTCGTTCTCCCGAGATATATTTCTCCCGCTTACCGAAACGTCGGAGCCGATGCAGCAATTTGCAAGTCGTGTGTCGCGCGACGACGTCGAAAACGGACCCCGGAAATGATTCTCGATTAGATGCCCGACGTCCGAACGCGCGATCATTCACGCCGCGGAGAAAGTGCGCGCGCGTGCTTGCGTAACAATGACCAGAACGAACTGGCGACGATCGAGCGTACGTCCCGGCAGATATCAGACTGCGCAGGATTGAACGTCAGAATTCTGTCTCGGCGCCTCGGATCTGACCGAAAGCGCGCGAATGATAACCGCGTGCGACGCCAAGTGTAATCGCACGCGCGCGCCGCATACTTGATGAGCTCGAGCGCGAACGTCGCCGAGAAAAGTCGCGCTATTAATCCGCCTCATTATGGACCGGCCGGGCCAGCGTGGGAGTTTTACGAGACGTGTTTGTGAAATGAGCGAGCTGGCGGGACCGGCTTGCTGTCGCGGGCACACCCGCTTGGAACTCTCCGGCGAACTTTCGTCCGCAGCCCGGAGATTCGAGCCCGGAGCGGAGAGAAAGGAGAAAGAAACAACTCGGTCCTGAGTGCTAATCCCTCGCGCATCGATCCCTCGTGATCCCTCCATCCGAATTACCGAGGCGGCAATTATCGCACCGGTGATATCGTTCAATCGCGCGAGAGCGCGTCCCGGTATCACACTCGATCCGTCTGTTGATCGAGTTCTCCTGAGTTCTCTCGTCGTCCCGAGTCGCCGGACTCGCGGGACGAACACGAGACGCGCTTCCGAATCCCCAATCACTCTTTTAACAACCTCCCCCCCCCGCCGTCTTCAACCCCGCCGTATGCACGAGGGTCGCGGTTCCGCTTCCGCGGGAGAGAAAAGCGCTGATCCAGGCACTTCGCGATTGCCTCGGATCGGAAAACGTCGTGGTGAATCGAGACACATCGCCGTCACGGCGATATCGGGCGAAATGACGTACGACATTCCGGCCACTCTTGTCGAATGTCACTCGCAGCGCTCTGGCAAAAAGAGTGGGAGGAAGAGAGGGGGAGAGAGCACGCTTCCGCCACGGAAGGCACCCGGTGGATGGTCGGGTCGGGTCGGGGCGAGGTGCAGCCGCGACCCGCTAAAGTTGCCGGCTCGCGAAACGATGAATAATTGAGCCAACGGGATGCAGGCGGATGCGCAGACCAAGGCTTCTCTCTCCCTCTCTCTCTCTCTCTCTCTCTCTCTCTCTCTCTCTCTCTCTCTCTCTCTCTCTCTCTTTTCTCGCGCGCGCGCGAGATGGTTAAAAATTGCCGTTCGCGCACATCCGTCATTCCGTCGTGGCGATCCGCGAGCAACGGGATTAATTGCGACGAGTAGAGCCGTTCTATTTTCGCGCTCTCTCGCCCTGCCGTCGCGCTTTAAGCGGCCGAAACCTCCTTCAACTGCGACGAGCAAGAGCATGTGGGGCCCGTCGTCCTGCGGCGTGCCCAGTCCGCGCGGATTCTCCGCAGAATGCACAGCCGAGCTTACGGCGCGCGTTGGCCGCGATTGTAATTTATCGGGCGGGTAATTGCGGAAATAACGAGCTACCGCACGATTCCGTTTTACCTCGCTCGGAAATCGCGCGACGGCGGGGAGCGCGACGGGGAGCGGAGGAGCAGAGGGCGAGAACGATGGGCTGGGAGGAGGGAAACGGAGGGAGAGAGGGGACGAGAGAGAGAGAGAGAGAGAGAGAGAGAGAGAGAGAGAGAGGCGACCTCCGGAGAACATTGATGATTTCCATCCTGGAGGCTAGCATAACTCGCCCTCCTCCGTTCCGGACTCGTCCATCAGCCTGCGTGGCTACGTTGTACGTCGAAGCGCTGTAATTACCAGGTCGCAATTAGTCCGCCGCCGCTCTCGCGGCCGGGTCCGTTTCGCTCGATCGTTCGTCGACGGAGAAAGAAACGGCCGCGCGCACCGTTGATCCTAATTGCACGCGCGAGCGCGCGAGCGCAGAAATGCCGCGGCATGATAATGGCATTTCGCCGGTTTTCGCGCTTTCGAAATTTCTCGCCGTCGAGCGCGCGCGGCCGAAAGGATCCCGCGCGTTCGGGGTGTCTCGCGGCGGACGTTTCACGTCGCGGCGGTCACAAGCAACGGGCCTTCGTCATTCACGATGCGCAGCCGACGATGGTTGCGCCAGTCGGATCGCGCGCGAGAACGGCAATCTCACGAATATTGATTTATTCCGCAGATTGGATATTTGCCCCCCCCTGCACTCCTTAGCGGGTCATAGGAGAGATATCATTCGCGACGTAATAAGGCGAGGCAATAGCGAGAGCGTCTGCGCGTGCAAGTGAGTGCGCGGCAAGCAATTTCGAAGGGCGGAAAACAACGGGATATCGCGGAAAGTGATTAACAACACACGACGATGATACTTTCTCCTTCGCATTTCGTAAAAGAGAGAAGGAGACTGCACAAATGCGCGTCTTATATGTCTTGCATGCTGCTACCGCAGTATTTTGTATTCACGTATACTCTGCGACAGCTGCAGCTCGCACACGTCGGTCAGCCCGGGAGAACGGAGAGAAAAAAGTTCGGAGACAAAAGTTTCCGCCGGAGCACAAAGTACCGAGGCACTCTTGTCAAGCCGCGCGATATTGGCGCGCAACGGCATCTGCAAGTATCGATGCAAGGCACGTCGAGATTGCCACGCGGGTATTGCGCGCTCGTGGTCGGGGCATTACACGTGGCGCAAAGTCGACGGAGGAGAAAGCGGGAGCGGCCGACGGACGCGCACGCTTAAACTTGACACTCGCCATCTCGCGAAGTCGCGTCTCTCGCGGTGGTACCGCGGGCGAAACCGGTTGTTATTATCTCGGGCGAGAGACGTAACGCGGTGTAACATGTAATCCTTCCTTGAAACGTGAGTCCCGACTCGGCAGATCGCATTCGTCCGAATAGCGCTGCGCGTATTCGACGCTAAAGCCGCGACGATAAAGCAGCGGGGGCTCGCCGGCTGAACGAGCGCGGAGGTCGCGTGTTGATACTTCGCGCCCACCTTTCTCTATTTTTCAACTCAATATGTTTTAATTAAATATTCGGGATTCGGGGCAACGTAAAAGAGGAATCATTAATTTCGGCCGGACTGTCGGACTTTACACGGCGGGATCTTATTTCGCGATCGCTCCTCGCCCGCCGGCTGCGATATCAGTCTGACACACTTCGCGGAACTGCACATGGCTGGCTGCGTACGCGATATGGTGAGGGTGCATCGCATTTTTTTGCGATTAATATTGCGATGGATATTAAGGAAATCGTGGAGACGTCCGTCGACGGATATTTACGAGTTTAATGTGAACTCCTCGCGGGGGAGCGCGGTGATTAATAGCGCGTATAATTGTTACCGAGGCGCCAACGTTAATACCAATCCACTGATTAATCGCGGCATCGGCTCGGATGGCCGCCGAACTGACGAGTAGAAATCGTAATTTCCGCTTGACTTTGACACGAAGCGCGGCCCGCGCTCCCGAGTGTGCCGTATCCGTTTCAATTATGCGTGCGAATGGACACGCGCGGCGGCAAAATCGATCAGCCGCTCGCGCTAGTCGGGATCTGCGAAATAGGCCAAAGAAAATGAGCGGCAATAGGATGCAGCTGCGACCGATGAAGTTCCAAATATAACGCAAATGGCGCTATTGAAGAGCGCGAGCGCGATCCATCATTTTAAGCGCTTTGATTCGGCGAGTCGGGCGGTTTGCTATTTGCGTTGCAGCGGCTATCGATATTGCATTTCGTGCGGATTGAATAACGCGCGCATCGAGAGAGAGAGAGAGAGAGAGAGAGAGAGAGAGAGAGAGAGGGGAGGGGGAGAGAGACGGAGAAAGAAATCACGAAAACACGAGTAAAACAGAAAAAAGAACCGGTAATTTCATAATCGTTCGAAACGAGTTTCAGCCGCTGAAAAAATCCGCGAAAATCCGCCTCATTGAAACTTGTGCGCGTCGGGGCGGAAAATTCCTCCTCAATTTTCCGCGCAATTCCCGCTTCCAAGAGCGATTCAGCGGGCGCGGTGTCTCGCGCGAAATAAATTTCCGGAATTGATGGTCCCGTGTAGCGTTATGGAAGACTCACTGACCGTATCGACGAGACTCGTGGGAGCGCGGACGCTGACGTGTGCTACGGAAAGCACTTGGTGCCACTGCTCGTAAAATGCGCGGCGACTTAATCGCGAATTCACGAAATGCGCGCCGCGATGAATCGCGACGTTAATCGCCGGTTAGCTCGCCAAACAATTAGACGATAATTCTCGTCGCTAATCGGCATCGACGGTCGATAGCTCGAGATTTCGGTCGACCACCTGTCGCGCGAATTACGACTCTTGGAAGATTAATACTCTGCGACGGCGGCGCGCGCGCGCGCGCATGCGCGGGCAATTTCGATATATGGCGACTTTGCGCGACCGACAAGCCGTCGGCTCCTTCGCCCACGTACGTGGTTTTTGAGCCACGTAAGCGCCGTTTCCGACGCGATGGAAATTTACGAGAAAGTCTAGTGGACCATGAAGATGCTCCCGTCGTTCCTCCATCACAATGACGGATCTATCGCGCGCGAATGTCATTTTGAGGATATTGAGGACACTCTTTTAAATAAGAAACGATTTTCGATAGCCACCAACGGTCGAAAATCGTTTCAACGAGAGAGAGATAGACAGATAGAGCGAGAGAAGGAAAGTATGAAGTATAGTTGAACAAATATAAAAAAAGAAATGCAATGCAATTCAAAAGATATGACAAGTTAAGACCGAAGGAGAAGATCTCCGATGACGTTTTCTGTTCGCAAATAAACGCGACATCTCTCTTGAATACAAGAGATGAGTAAATTGTCGGCGGCTTTGCGAATCCCCACCGCAGCCGATGACACGTGCAAGATTGTAACTGGTACTTGCCCTTTCATCGGGCCGGCTGCCCGTTGAGAGCGACTAAAGGGACATTTTCGAGAAGGGTCCGACGAAAAGGAGAAGACACGATACATCGCGCGCGCTGACACTTTTATGGCGTCTCGAACGGCGGAATGCGACTTATCGATGGATAACACTCAATAAATATGTAATAAACGTCGATGACTGCGCGTGCACATTGATGCCGAGTGAAATTTCATGGTCCGGATAAAGATCAATATTTTCACTAGCTGACGCTATAGTTGGCGTGATTTATCGGCCGTCGCTTTTATTAGCGGATATTTATAGCGAGCACCAATCTCTGTCTCTCTCTTTCCTCCCTCCCCCCCTCTCTCTCTCTTTCTCTCTCTCTCTCTCTCTCTCTCTCTCTCTCTCTCTGTGACATGTACATATCGCGCAGATATTCTAACACCGATGACGGATGAAATCAGTGGTTGGCACGCAACATAAAAATAAACGATTCGTCATGCGGGATCCTTGCAACGTCGCGAATCATTAAGCATATCCCGATGTTACTTTTTTTTGTACTGTTTTTCCTTCTTTTACGACGCATCGGATATGTATGTGTGTATAATTCGAGGTGGTCTGGCTTATACTTGCGCGTCTCACCCTCCGTTGGGAATTTCAGAATTCCGTTTTTATGTTCCTTTTTATCGGACCTTCCTCCGCGAGCACCGCTCGGTTCCTTTCATGAGAAAATTCCTCCGACGAAAAGGACAAATACCAATGACAAGATTATGCTTGTCACAAGGGACGTCGCAATGGTTCGCCCGTGATTTAGCCTCCCACTGACTTCTTCCATGTTTGTCGGTTGTACGCTGAAGAGGAGTCCTTGCGATTTATTAGTTACGTTCAGAACGGAACACGGAAAATAATAATGATAAATTACCGTGTATGAGTCGAGGTTAATAAATTATCGCAAAGGTATCGCAAAGGAATATCGTAGAAAACCGTAAAATATAAAAAGGATCGATCGCTTCCTCCGAGGTGGGCAAGCTCTGTTCGAGCGAAGTCATAACTCGAGGCATCAGCCAGCCAGCCAGCCAGCCAGCCCAGTCGACTCGCGGATAATCCTCTTCTTCTTTGGAGTCGGCTCGCACACATCCGTCGCGCGCGACGTTACATTCTCTCGCGAGCCTTTGCGGACTTTCAGCGTTCTCGCGCGACTTCCGCGCCGGGAAAGGCCAAAGGGAAGGCGCGTGGCTTTCGGCGTTACCGCCCCTTAGGCGAGGAAACTCGATGGATCGGCGAGTCGCAAGTTTCGCCTTTTACGCTCGAAAAGAGGGAAGGAGCCGTGCCATGCGGACTTTGCGAAACTTGCCGCTCGCTGGATTAAGTGTCAAATCTGTGACGTCGGGAACTTGGCGTGCATAACGTCGAGTTTCCAAGTCCGATTGTCGGGACCAACCGGACGCAGCCTGCGCGAGATCGCAGGCTGACGATCGACGTCACGGACAACGGCAGTTCCGTCGGGAGAGCGAGCGCCGCTCGAATAATCGCGGCTCCGATAATTGGACCGGACTTGGATATCGAGGATACCTTAAATTCCGAAAAATCACATTCGCTCTCCCCTTTTTCTCGCTCGCAAAAGAAGAACGTGCTTCGCGCAAACGACAATTATCATGCCTTGCCGACGATTAAAAGCCACGGTCGTTCCTTCACGCTTTCGACGAGGTCCTTCTGTCCCGACGAAAGCACGGCTCCCACGTGGGCCGCTCGTGGGCGAGTTTACACGTATGCCCACGTGGACCATATGCCGTGAGCTCGATTACACGTCGTCGTCGCGCCTTACGCGTGACGCCTACGCGCACTGCTGCGCCTCCGAGCCTGAAATTCGGCGGAGAGCCAACGGAAGAACCCGGCATCGCGAGGATTCTACACTGAGCATTCGACGCTTGAGAAAACTGCGCGCAGTTGCAAAGCCGCGTGCATCAATTAATTGTTTCCGCCGACTCGGCGCTTCCGTGCTCGGCACCGGAAATTGACAGGCGATGCCAACTGCGGCATTTCCAGAGAAAGCGAGAGCGAGGGCAAAAGCGTGAGAGAGAGAGAGAGAGAGAGAGAGAGAGAGAGAGAGAGAGAGAGAGAGAGAGAGAGAGGCGCATCTAGCTGGCATCTGTCTGGCGAACGCTGACAGGATGATGCAAAACGCGGCGGGAATAGCGCGCGAATTAACGTGCACGCGCGAATGCGCTCGGGATAATCGAACATCTCCCCGCGGGGGTTCGGCGCACGCACTGCACGTGACGGACATGCGATTGCACTATTAGCAAACGTGTGGCGGCGTTATCCCACGTTCGTCACTCTCGGATGCGACTCGCGAAGGATAACGCGCGCGCGCCGCGAAAGTATAATCGATAACGTGTAAAATTACATTTACTTCGCGGCCGACAAAGGACGCCGCGACGGCTCTTCCTCTTCCCACCTTCCCCCCCTCCTCTCCTCCCCGTCAGCCGGCCGGCCGCCTACCTTGTGACAGCTTAATTGAAAGATTCGCACACGTGGCCGTTTTACGAGGGCGCGCGTGTTTTTGTATACAAATGGGACATCGCGCGGCCCGACGGCGACGGGAATAGCGCGCGCGATTAGTACGCGGCAGCTCGAAAAGCCCACGCGACGCTTTGACAGTCCGCCTTCGGCGCTTTTTATATCGCGCCATCTCTCCATCGTTGGTCTTTATGGCTTTTGCTTCGTTTTCACTAGTTACGTCCATTATACACTTGTTGGTCGGAGAGGCGCTCAACGGGTCTCCGTCGGAGGCTGACGCACGAACGCCAAGCGAACGCGCACAAGTGCGAATGTCCGAATTGCGTTCGGACAGATTTGTCGCTAAACTGTTGAGAAACTCGTTTATACTCGGAATAAATATTACTCGGCGAGTTCGTGCTTGAGCATAATATTTCCCAAGGGCGCTGCTCTCTCAGCAGGAGAGAGCTGCCTTATGTTTTCGTCTGTCCAACGTGCGATCGCGACAGCGGCAAACTCGTCCTTTTATTTACCCTCATCAACCCCATTATTTGTCTGTATTAATTATTTAATATTTGCTTATTGCACATGTTCCATCTCTGCCTGCAGCGGCACAATGTGTCAACAAACGCACACCATGTCGCGCGAGACTAACGGGTGAAACACACGGATAAAATATTGAAATAATGGAATATTAAATAATACCAAAACAAGTCCTCCCCTCAAAGAGCCTCGACATGTAGAGAACAATATCGAACGAGCATTTGACGCGCAGCGTCAAATGTAAAACAATAGCCTATACGCCGTTATATCCCGGGGCTCTCCGTCGGTGTCGGCTCCTCAAATTCGTCGGAATTTTCCGCTTTAATATAAAAGTAAAATTTCGCCTCGGGCGGCCTCTCTCTCTCTCTCTCTCTCTCTCTCTCTCTCTCTCTCTCTCTCTCTCTCTCTCTGCCGTGTTTCCAGCGGAGGCTCGCAGCCGCCGGAAACAGCGACTGTGACGACGCGTCATTAAGAGGAGCAGTTCCGCGGCGGCCGCGCGAGCTGTGCGCGTTAAGAAATAGCAGCGTTGCAGAGCGATTTGAAGGGGCGCAGGACGCCGGTAATGAGAGCGCGCGATACGACGGGACACGTAACAGCCGTATCGAAGGCTTAAATCTAATCCCAAGGATGCGCCCGATAGGCTGGCCCGCGAGACTCGCGTATGCAGAACGCGTATAATGGGAATACCCGGCGGCTTTCGATCGGGAGCCAATTACCGGCGCAATCGAACGGCACGGTAGCCGCGCGCAGAACCCAGTAAACTTAACCGCAGCATTCAAACGGACCAGGCCAGGCCACGCGCGCCGTCCGTTCCACATTTAAAAGGCGAATCCATCGGGCCGCCGCCGCGAAATTGCCTTCGTCCTTCGTTTCTCGCTCGACCGCGCGCGCGAAGCGCCGGCCGCCGAAAACGCCGTTGCGCGCTGGCTAGACAAGCAGGGTACTCACCCGTTGGTCGTGTTGTGCGCGAGGAAGGACTTGGGCAAAGACAAGGATCGCTGGTGGGGGTCCAAGGCGACGTCGCTCGTGAGGGGATCCTCGCCCCTGGTGGGCGCGCTGCCAGGTCTGGAGAGGGTGCCGTCCTTCGGCGGCTCGATCAACGTCTTCAGCGAACCGATCACGGCGTCCTCCATCGGCGTGGATGCGCCGGAGCTCTTGGCGTTTCGTGGGCTCTTCGTCACTGTGCGGTCCGACGTGGTGACCCAGATGTCGCTGCTGGAGGACGACAGGGTGTTCGTGGACGAGGAGGCGATCGGGCCGCTGGGCGAGCGGCTGATGTTCATCCCTTGAATGGGCGACACCTTCCTATCCTTGTTATCGGCGCCCTCGAGTGCGCCCGGGAAGTCGGACTTCCGGTACACCCGATGATGCATCTGATCCCTCTTCTCCAGCCCGGAGCCTGTATTTAAACATTGATCCATGCGCGGCATGTTAATTTGATAAGACTAGCGAAGAAGAGTGCACCGAGTTCTCTCGTTTCACTTGACATTCAAGTGAAGATATTCCCCGAGTTTGGGAAAAATTATGTTCACCAAGTTATCCCAAGCCATGAGCTTCTTGGGGGGAGAGGCTCGATCTAACTTCTCCATAACTGCGGACCGAGCCTCCCCCCGAAGAAACTTACGACGGATCAACGTCGAATACTAAGTACTAACTGTTGCCGTTGCTCCCCTCCATCGGCGACCACCTATTAGCCTGCTTCAACACGCCCTTGGGTTTCTCCTGGTACTTGGAGTTGCTCTGTTGGCTGCTCCTGCTCTTCCTCGAGTTGTCCCTCTCGCGGAGCTCCCGATCGTCCATCCGCTCCAAGGAGGCCGGCGAGGAACTGGCACTGCCGCAGTGGCTGCCAGCGTCGGTGGAGAGCCGTTGATGCGCTGGGTAGCTCTGCGACAGCTTCATGAAGACCGGCGCCTGATTCGGCGAGTACAGACTTTCTCTCTGCGAGCAGTGAGGCCAGAAGTCGCATGTGCTGCTGTTGCAGCGTAATTTCGTGTCCGGGCTCATGCAGAAGTCTTGGTTGCTGGATGGTGTGTTCGTGTTCGGCGTCGTAGCGCCTCTCTGCAGAGTGCGCGGTCGTCTGGATTGTTGCTGCTGCTGTTGTTGTTGTTGTTGTTGTTGTTGTTGTTGCAGCTGCTGCTGCTGCTGCTGCTGCTGCTGCTGCTGCTGTTGTTGCTGCGAAGAATTGGACGCTTTCGACAACTGCTGCTGTTGCTGCTGCTGCTGCTGTTGCTGCTGCGAAGAATTCGACACTTTCGACGACTGCTGCTGCTGCTGCTGCTTGGAGGATATAATGTAGACATCGTAGGTGTTGTTGGGATTGCCTCGCCTCTGCTCTTGACTGTCCTCGCGACGCTCGTAGCGGCTCGACAACAGGCTTCTCGCCGCAGCGCGGCTTCGCGTGCCGTACAGGTACTCGGTCACCACTTCCGCCTCGCGCAGCAGATTCTCGTTCACGCCGTCGTCGGTGGACTGAGCTTTCCCTGAGTGATTCGAAAAAGACGCTCGGATATGGAAGTGAGACTCACTGCTCGGCTCGTTTGGCTCTTTTATCGCCGAGGTAGCGCTGCTGTGCGTGCTCTTCTCGAATGCGCTATTCACGTCGCTAAGCTTTGAATCGCTCGGCATATTATGTTCTCTGACTGTTAGTTATTTCCAAGCGATACGCATGAATGCGTTTGACGCGGCATTGAATAAAAGTGCGAAATAAATGGCGAAATGTTTCAGATAGATACTACGAATAGAGTTAATCGTCGCTGTAAAATTCACCGGACGTGATCGTTATTTTTGTACGCTCCCGGTAGTTTCGCCGTGAAATACACTTGCGGGTGTCAACAGCTCGCGTCCTACACTCTTGTGCTCGTAAAATATTCGATACGTGCGTGCGTGCGCGAGAGCCGGTGCGCAGAACATCCAAGAGATGGTACTCACGGTTTTGAAGAACAAGGCGCTTGGACCTCTCGCCTGATCGATCATTTACAATCTTCACGACTACCCTGTGAGCTTCGTTCGAGTGATCCCTCTGGCCGCCGCTCGCCCCCGGCGACCGCTTCTCCGGCAACTGTAAGCTCCTGGACCTCCGGACTCGGGACTGATGCGAATCAGGCGACACCTGATTCGTCCTGGCGCTTTGATGCTGCCTCGGAATATTAGCCCTCCTGAAGGGATTAGGCGTGGACCGTCCTTGCCGCCCATCGCTGCTTGACGAGGAAGACGACGAGGAGGGCGAATTGAACATCTGTTTCCCCGACTCGGAAGATCCCGGGGATCTTCTAAGTCCCTGTTGACTTCGATGGATTCTCCTAGATATAACACTTAGACATTTTATTTCTCGATAAAATTGCGATAGACTCTCTCGCTGCGATTGCCGGCTAAAATCACATGTATTTTCCAGCGAACAAAAGGAGGAATTAAGAGGAACGGCAGAATTAAGAGAGTTAAGTATAATAGAATTGAAAATGTGAAGCAAAGATGAAAGAAGGAAATGAATTCGCATGAGGGACTGACAGCTGAACGTTCGTTGTGCGTGTTTTAAGAAAAAGAAAAAAAACGTCTTTTCCAACGGACGGAACTCTTCAACGCTCTTGACATCTTCCACAAAAAAGAAAAGAAAAGAAAAGAAGATGCTGCCTCTACGAATTGCGTCGGTTTTCGTTGTTGCCTACCCTTGCCTGTTGGGCGAGATCCGTTCGCCATTGGCGCGGATCGACTCGGTGGACGAGTTCAACGCGACTGCCGACGACGACACCAAGCTGAGATTCAAGGAAGAGCTGGGATTGTCGTCTTCGTCACCGTCGTCATATCTAGCACCGAAATACCGACATTTCTGCATTCGGCGTCTCTCAAATTTCGTTCGATCGTACTTTCACTTCGCATGCGCTAACTACTAGCACGTTAATCCACATCTTATCCATCGATACAACATACACGTCTACGCAGATTCAAGGTCACGCTGCTTTAGCGAACGTTACTAATTAACGCCAAGCGCAGTTCATTTTAGCCGTCTGGTCGTTAGTTGAAGTCGTTCGGTCAAGTTAGCCGACAAAAGGGGTCGCTTGCGTAAATCAGTAATGAAAATCATGTACCCTTCTACCGAGGAATCCGTGTTCTCCGCCAAGCTGGGCATGATGGACTTGGTGACGCAACTGTCGAGGCTCCTGAATCCCATGGACGACGACGACGAGCTGGACGACTCGATGTACCTCTGCGCGAACTGCGATCTCCTGGAGGACGACTGGTCCTCCAGAGACTTGGCTTGCGCCATGCGATACTGCTGCTGTTGCTGCTGCTGTTGCTGGCTGGAGTTCTGCCGCTTCGACCTGGCGGACGCCGAGGCGGAGCTCTTCCTGACGGCGGACGGCAGGGAGCTCCAGTTGACCTGGTGCTGCGGCGGCGGTGGCGGCTGCGGCGACGGCGGTGGGCTGATGATATCGCTGTCGACAATAGCGTTTGATCGCGGCAAGAAGGGCGCCTTGCCGTAGCCGCTGCGCCCGGAGTGGCGCGACAACGACTTCCTACCGACCGCGTCTTGGAACGCCGGCGGCGGCGATATGATCGGCGTGACCGACGGCGGCGAGAAGGACTCCGGGATGTTGTGGGGCGACGTGCAGGCGCTGGTCGTGATCGCGTCGAAGTCCTGGCTATGCAGAGCGAGGTAGTCCGGTCTCTGCGAGTCTGCCAGCCTGGAGAACTCCAACGGACACTTGCCCGGCTCGCTGTTGCAGTGATAGTCCGCCAGCTTCACCGCTACTCGCCGCGGCAGCGGCAGGGTGCCGGTGATCGCGTTCACTAGGTTGTCATAGTTCGACCGACGGTTCTCGTCCAACGACCGTTGCTGCACTTGCACCCAGCCGGAGCGGCCCAGGTAGACGCCGTCGACCTCTTGGTCGCACCAGCGCACGGGCGACAACTCGCGGCTGCAGTTGCCGCTGATGAAGAGCTCACCGGACGTGCCGCTGTTGCCCGACAGGAAGGGGTTGGTGGCCTCGCGCCTTCGGGAGCCGGAGATCTACGTGGGAGAGTGTCGCGTTGCTAACGAGGATCAACTACGTCGCGCTTCTTCGTCGCTTACGATACGCTTGATCTTCGGTCGATGGACGTGTCGCGAACTCGACCGCAGTTCGCTTTCATTCTCGACCGGGTCAAATATCGGGCGGGCTCGAGTTTATTTCAATGACGAAACGATCTTGTCGGTTGAAAGGGCGCGACATGAGAGAGAGAGAGAGAGAGAGAGAGAGAGAGAGAGAGAGAGAGAGAGAGAGAGAGAGAGAGAGAGAGAGAGAGAGAGAGAGAGTTCGTGGTGAATTTCCTCGTGCTAATCAGGAGAAAAGTTGACTATAAACCGACGCAGATATCCGTTCCCGTAAATATTAACGACCGTTAACCGTGACTTGAAATGTGACCCGCTTACCGCCGAGGCGCGCGGTATCGCTGTGCAAGCCGGGAGCGGCGCCGGTATCCGACGAGCGGAGCTCGTGATTCCCACTTACTTGACCATGGCTGTCTTGGCGATGCTTGAGGCTCGACGTCGACGTGGTCGACGTGGATGTATCGTGACGTTTCAAGGAAGGTATCGAACTGCCGCGGCTGTAGGAACCGCGCGCACTCCCAGCGGATTTCCCTCTGCTGCCGGTCTGGCTCTTGTTGCTGCTGACGCTGTACGAGGAGCCCTGAGAGCCGACTTCCCAAGGGTCCGACGTATTGCGGAGATGGAGGATCGACACGTTCGGGCCCCTGCAACCGAAAATTTCCTTGCCATCGAGTCTGGCGAGTTTAGGCGGCGCGTTTAGCCGCGGCTTGAAGCCTTGAAGGAATAAAGTGTCTGACGCGGCGGCCGATTAGCATCCTCATGTCCTCCCTATCGGGAGAACGTGACGCAGACGCGTCACGCGGTAACGCGGAAACGCGGTGAGATGCGCGCTCGACTTCCTCGCTGCGCCCCGATTCCTGCCTCGCGTCCCGCGTTACCGCGCGGAATTATTTAACGAACGATATTTCACGAGAATTTCGTGAGAATTTTAAAGCGAGCAAGATATCAGGTGTGATAAATCGTGTGACGGTCTTCAGCGTCCATCACGTATCGCTCGTGCATGCGAAGGTCGTAATACGCTTCGCCGTAATGTGCCTCGCCGTCGCGAACGAGGAAAGAAGCAAGTCGCAACTGTGTGAAGAGTATCCTCTTCCGTTTTTTCCTCCTTCGCGTCGCCGTATAAACGCGCGCGCCTCGTTTCCCTGTCTCTCTCTTTGCTTTGCCATCGCCGAATCCAGGATCTCACTTTACTTTGTTGCAAAAGGAAATCGACTTGCGGTGCACTTTAGCATCTCCGGGGATTTTACGCGACAGTCGGTATGGGAAGTCTCTCCCGCCTGCGCCGACGTCTCGAAGTGAGATAGATGCGCTCGTTTTTGCTTGTCTTCCCTTCCTCTCGATCCCTTCCCCTCTCCGCCAGCCAACCCTGCCTCCCTCCATTTTCCTTATCCGACGATATCTATATCAAGCTCGCGGCACGACGATGAATATTTATACAACGAGATTGTACACTGCATCGAGAAGAAGCAGGAAAGGGAGAGATCGAGACAACGATGGGGCGAGAAAGAGAGAGAGTAAGAGCGAAGTGCATCCAGGTTGCATCGCGCGCACCTGTGCGCCTAAGAACCCGCGGCGATATACGAGAGTCAGATCTCCGGATAATTTTCCTCGGGAGTTGATGCCGCGCGACCTCTCCCTCTCCCTCTTCCTCTCCGCGGACAAATACATCCCCCGCATATCTCTCTCCCTTCCTGCTTCCCTTCCCTCTGTCTCCTCCCCGCTCTCATCCTGCCTCTTATTCACAGTGTCCCTTTTCTCTCCAGCCGCGGTGCGAACTCTCGTGAGTCCTTCCTCACGAAAATTGCGCGGCGAACCACCGTGAAAATATTACGCGTCGCGCAGCATGCGTAAGAGGAGGCGGAGGGGCATGTTTCCGCGTGAACAAAATTAATAAGGAAGAAGCTTCACCCCGCGTGAGGAAGACTGGAACCGCGCGAACCTTCCTCTGCGAAGCGGCCAGTGAGTAAGAGAGAGAAAATAATAAAGACGTAAAGATCAACAGTGAAATCGGCACGATCGACTTTTTCGTCACACGAAAGTTGCCGAAGTTTGCCGTTTGCGCGCGGAGTCTCGAGCATCTTTGACGTCAGCAGTGTGATTAACGCTGCGATCCAAGAAGTCGCACGCCCGCGCCGCAGGAACGTTCGCGAAAGTGAAATTCCCTGGAGGGGAGGGCTCCGAATCGCTGCCGCTGCATTAAATCCAATTTTGACTCGGACGGATAATTTCGAAATTAGCCGCTCGACGGCACTCGAGAAGCTTCCAGCTGGCGGACGCTATCGGAGACGTGCAATTTGACGGAAGCTCAGACTTGATCGGCCGGCGCCGATGCTGGAAAGAGTTATTAAATGGGAAGTCCATGGAGTCTACAGGGGCAGGCGTGGAAAGCTGAGCGTTTATCTCCAGAGGCATTAATTTCGCCCGAAGACTGGAAGGTTCGTCGCGCGGTTCGAAAATGGCTGACAGAGCGTGTCTCGGATATATTATTTGCGGCGAACAATATCTCGTCGATATCGCTCCACGTACGGCTGACGAAACGGCCCGGCCGAATAATATTCGGGCGGTCGCTATCGAGTGGGACGAAAATATCTGTCCTCGATTAATCATATTTACCTCTTAACCGACATGATACCCAGCGAGTCCACCCGTGTTTCCTTTGACCGTGTGTGTTGAAGCGTCGAAATAAATCCGTTGCTCAAATAAAACTATCCGCCGCGACGTCAATCGGAACAACGAGTGACAAGAGGGAGAGGGACACCTCTCCCTCTGTCAATCCGCAATCGCGCGCACTTCCGTCGATAAAATCGCGTATCCGCGTCGAGGAACAACGTCTCGTCCGTTGCCTGCAGTCGACTCCTTCACTTCACATCGGGCTGACCGTTTACCCTCGTATCGTGTCGCAGAACTGCTTCCTCGCGAAGATTGCGAAGAAGCGCGCAGCGTCGTCACGAAGAAGTCCGGTTGCTTCCGCGGACTAATCGACGGACAATCAGGCGTTATTCCAGATTTGCCGGCCACCCGATGAATTTTACATCCCCTCGTGTAGACAGGCTGCGCTCGGCGCGACGAGTATCCGAGTCCACTCGAGGTGGCTCGAGAAGAGAGTGCGTCGTAGAGGGTCCATTGGGCCTCATGAAAGTTACATCGTGTGCAAGCACCGGCGGCGTCTGCACGCAGGAGCTCACGCTGAGAGCAAACACGAACGGCGTAACGATCGAACGAATGTCGCCGTTCCGCCAACCGACGCGCACCAGCTTCGCCAGATCGGTCCCAGACGCCGACGGCTTCCCCGACGGTCTCCGTGGATGTGCATGCGCGCGATTCCGCACCGGTGCACCCTCCGTTCACGAGATTCCTTCGAGCGCGTACAACCACTCCGCGTCGCCCGTGTGCGCTCCGTGCGGAAAAAATTACTCCGTCGGAGTAACTGAATTTCCCGTCGCCTGGGAAGCGGGCGAGACGTCAGTCGCGAGAACAGGAAGTCCCTGAACAGGAAGCAGGTGTTTTCTACCCGGCTACTTGCTCTCGCTTATCTCAACCGAGTTTTAACACAGCTGGTTGCACGGACAAGTGTTTTCGCTCACACGGACACGTGAATCGTTTCCCGTCGTCAAGTCTCCTCCGTCTGCTCCTCATTCAGTCACACGAACTGGAATGTTTCCAGTGTTGGCAGCAGCGGTTATCTCAGGAGCACATAGCCGGTCGCGAGAATGTCGCCCCTGCGTCGTCGAGAGCGGACTCGAGGGGGGAAAAGCGCGGCGGGAGAGAGAGAGAGAGAGAGAGAGAGAGAGAGAGAGAGAGAGAGAGAGAGAGAGAGAGAAAAGTGCGATGTTACCTGTCAACGCGCGAGATAGAGCCTGCGTTGCTGATCTCGCTTGTATCCGCGGCCGGACTGACTCTCCGCGGCGGCAGGGCGGGAGGCGCGGCCTGGCCAGGAGCTTGGCTCGAGGACGAGATCGAAACGGGCCCTCCGACGCCCACGTTGCCCCCACGTACCCCATCTTCGGCCGAGTGCTGCCTCGAGGACTGCGAGTTCTGCGACAGCCAACGGCGCCCGGCATTTCGCGTCACCACCGTGGGCCCGGCGGGGCCCGGCGGCTGATGACCTATCGCGCTCCCACCATCCAGCGATGTACTCTGTAACCGAAATTCAAGGTCATTCTACGTGGGCGCTCGTGGACGAAGAGAAATCGCCGGACTGATTTTACGTGGCCCGCTCGCGGCAGCGCCGTCGTGTATCATCAGACAAATTCTACTACGTCGATCAACACGACAATCAGGAGAGTACCTTCCGGAGGACCTTTCCGAGGCCTTGCACTCGGCAGATGAGACAATCGGAGACGGAATCCCCGAGCGAAATCTTTAATTTGATAGGAACGTAGGATCAAGCGATTAAACACACATGACAGTCCAAGGAGAACGCCTCGAAGACGCAGCGCCAATGTCAAAGCGCCAGCTCAACCAAGCACTCGAGCGCGCGGTCTTCCCACGCTCTGCGATATCCGCGTGCTCGAGCTCCGAAATTTCTCGAAAAATGCTCAACAACTCAACCACCTGCGGAAATGCACGGAGCGGCGTCTCCCGCCGTTTTCTCCGCCGCTATGTTGGGCTCTCTCTCTCTCTCTCTCTCTCTCTCTCTCGTTAACCGCGCGTCGTTAGCAGGAGCCATCATCGCCGGCCATGATCATTATGAAATTGTGTCAATCGCTAAGGCGGCGAGAGAGCCGGGGAGGGGGGAGGGGGGGAGAGCGAGCCTGCTCGCGCGCTAGGGCACCATTATCGTTACGTCGACCGTGTCGGAGCTGAAGCGGAGTGTCGCGAGACACGGCTGTGCGCGCAGAGGCCGTTTCTACTTCCAAATACGGCCGAAGCACGTACGGGCTGGCGCAACTCCGCGCGCGGTGTGTGCCGATGAAAGTATTTTTATTCTCGTCTGCGCCGGTCACGCGCGCGAACCGAAGAGAGGAGAGGAGACCACCCGAACCCGTCCGCGCTGTCGCCGCGAGCCTCGAGCGTGCGTATCGTTTTATCGACTTTCATTAGTCCGCGCGGACCAATATCCCTTTGTGACGCGAGCGTGCGCGATTTTGAAACAGCTGTCCGTCAATTCCTTTACGATGTCGCGAGCGGAGATAAACGGATCGCGAGCATGAGCGGGTTTTAAAATAACACACACGGCCAATTCGCAGCGCGTGGCAGCGAGCTGGCTATCTCGATTGACCTCGTCGCTCGTTTCGCGCCACGCGACTCGAACGCGAGCAACATTGAGGAGCGGCGACGACGCGCCGGTCAACGAATTCGGGCCAATTACGAGGCTTGCGTGCGATCGATCGCAGGTGATTCTTTCAGCTTGCCGCTCTCGCCGAGCAGAAGCGAGCTCACGGTGTTCACGAAACTGACACGACGTAGACGAGAAATCAGAGCTCGTCTACATCGCGGAAGCCTAAATTATCAGATCGATTGTGGATTGTGCTTACGTACATTCACGTGATTCTTCCTGGACGTAACGGTCGAGTCCTGCGAGGATCCTCTCGCGTAGTGCCGAGCGAACACCTCGGCCAGCCTGGACCTTCCCGAGCTCGTCGCGTTTGACTTGGACTTACTTGGCGACGAGCCATCGGCGACGCCGGCTAAATTCGGATTACTGCTCTTGCGCTCCGGGAACACTAAGTGCTCGATGTTCGGCGTGTATCCAGGGTCGCTCCTGACGATGTCCTGGAGCGTCCGGCGACTTGCCGCGCCGGGCCCGCCGTTGCTGAAACGAATCGCGCGCGCGTGCCAACGCGGCCGAGGTCGATTATTTTGCCGACGACGACGCTGAGGTTTTCGAGGGGGCGCACCGTGACGGGAACTTTATAATTTCAAGGCTACCCGGATTTTTCCGAGTTTTCAAGGCTTGGCGGGTAACTCACCCGGGTCTTGGGAGAAACTCACCTGGGCCTGAAACCGTGCGACTGCCTCTGGCCACGTCTCTTCCCGCTGCCATGTCCGGGCTTGATGTTCGTCGCCTCGGCCAGTTGCAGCAGACGGCTGCGATGCTGCTGTAACAGCGGGTCCTCCGGACGATTCATTCTACCCTGCGCACCTGGAGTCCCGTCGTTCCTGCATCCTGCAAGGCAGAAGAGAGCGCGCTGAATTCACCCCGGCAGACGCACGCACGCTGCATTCTTTCACAACCTCGCGCGCGCGCGGCCGCGCTTTTACTCTTTCTCCTTTTTCTTTCCGCTTTCTTTCTTTTTTTCACCGGGCAAACAGCATAATTTTGCTAGAGTTGCTTTGAAGCCTCTCTCCAGTGTGATAACGGTTAGAGAATTCTTTTAAGGATAATGAAGCTCCGCGCGCGCGGGGGGGAGGAGGTAACGAGAGGTCTCGAGAGAATTAACGTTCCGTTCGCGGTACCTTTTTTCCATCAACGCGACTGGACAGAAAGGAGGCGGAAGGTTTGTAAACAATGAGTTAATTACGATTTTTGTAACTGCGTCCGCGTGTCAACGAACTCTTTCTTTCTCTGCCTCTCTCTCTCTCTCTCTCTCTCTCTCCCGCGCGCACGCGGTCTCGCTTACCGCGCATTATAAGGGGAACTAGTAAAAGCGATAGCCCGAATAATTCTTTCGACAAGGATCCGCCGGGATCAGAGGGAGAATTTACTGCAGACGGACACACACTCGCACATCTTTCTCACTCGTTTTCTCTTTTATCTCGCTTTGATGTGAAGGAGGTAGAGCAGGACCAGATATAAAAGGGACAAGAAAAATGGTGTTCTCTCTCCGCCGCGCCGCGGGAACACCGGCCATACCCGCCATTGTTTCAACGCGCGCGCCAGCGGGTCTCGCCTTTAAAAATGCTCTCCTTTCGCTTCCTCCCGCCTCCCCTCTTCCTCTTCGCCCCTTCTGTCCCGCGACTCCTCCGTGAGTGAGGCAATTCCTTATCGCGCGTGTAATACGTCATAAATTCATGCTTTGCCGGGGTAAACGATAGTTTCTCTCCGCGGGCGAAATATGTTCGACGCTTTAGCACGAGGCGCGCGTAACATCAAAACGCGTTAGCGCTCTCGTGTTTATCACGATATATTCTAATCTAAGAAGCTTTTCCCCCCGGGGGATGTGAGGGGGGAGAGGGTTGTTTCTTTTTTGTCTGTCAGAGAAACGCTTTGAATGAAAGACGTCGCGTTCCTGAGGAACGGCGGTCCCCTCCCCCCCCTCTCTCTCTCTCCCTCTCTTTTTCTCTCTTTCTCTTTCTCCCTCTCTTTGTGCATCGCGTGCTGCATCTCACGACGCAGCAGCACAGGCCAGACTTTAAAGTGCGAGCAACTTTTCGAGTTTTCCGCAGCGATGTTGCGCGCAATCGATCATATACGATTATCCCACTTGACGTAATCTTTGCGCGCGGCAGCTTTATTATGACAAATGGCGGCGCGCCAGAGCGAATGCAGTGAATGGCCATCGTCGAAGATACCTCCGCGACGGACGCTCTCTCCTCACCGAGGAGGCGATCGATATATTTTTTCGATAGAGGAATTCTCCGCCTGACGTTCAACGGCGTTAGAGCGCCGCGCATTGGAGCTGTATTATCAGTTATCGAGAAAGTTCCGGGGAAACGCAAATTTCTGCGGCCGCGAATAGCGAATAACGCGCGCGCGAGAATTTAATATTGCGCCCGAAAACTATTTTCGCGCGCATTTTATATTATAGTCCGGCGATATAGTGGGCGCGCGGAAATACCGAGTGTTCGATCCGAGTGTTTCAACTTTCGGTTCGCCGACGCGCTGCGCGACGGACGCCCGGCTTCGCTTCCGATACGACGAAAACGAACGGATGGAGGAAAAGCGAGGCAATGAGACAACGGATATCCCGTCGCCAAAAATCATGACGAAGACGAAGGACACACGCTCCGGAATCACGGGATTCTCCTCCGGAAAAGTCTGCTTTTAATCATATTCATCGGACACCGACGCCGGGAAATTTGTCTTATCGAACGCCTGAAGCCAGGATTGAGAGAGAACGAGGGAGGGAGGGGGAAGAGAATTTTCTTTCAATCGGAAACAATCGCGGGCAGCAAGCGCGGGGATTGATCATCCCGATCTCACGCTGCATCTTGAAATTCATCAATCTCCGCCGCGACTCGCGCGCTCAAACGCGGACGCATTTGCCGTCCCCAACGATTTTTTTCTCTCCCTTACAACGGCCGAAATCGAGCTCGCCGGTAATGCCGACGCGCCTTAAGCGACGATTTTACTTCCCATTACAAATCGTTTTCCGATTTCACTAAGAGCCACCGCTCTCTTTTGCAGTTTCTGGATACGTTGACACGTAATCTGTATTTCAGGCGTCGGGCTCAATGAAAGCGTCGTTTGCCATCTCGCTTATCCTCTCTCTCTCCTCTCTCTCTCTCTCTCTCTCTCCCTCTCTCTCTTGCTTTCTCAAGAGAGAGAGAGAGAGAGAGGGAGGAAGAGGAGGCAGAGGCCCACGGACGACAACTCCATTTACTGGAAATCAACAACGATCTTTCCTAGCCGAGCTCCGGTCGCGCCGAGTAAAGCGACGAAGGTTTAAAAAGTCGGTCTTTAAAAAGTCGAGCGCGCCGTCGAAGATCCGGCACTCTTGAGGTGCGGTTCTAAATCGATCGGCGGCGCGATATTCTGCTTCCGCCTGAATTACTTGAGGTCGCATCAAACTCCTCTTCGACTCTCAATTCTCACTGTAGGAACAGGAGGAGAGTCCTTGTCGGAGCGACGCGATTCTTAAGGCACGTTGTGCGTGCACGTTAACTCGGTTAGCGCGGGACCGTTCGAGGAGTCGCTGGTGATTCGAGGCGTAATTTGTAGCCCATAAAAGTATCGTTCGTCTCGGGCGTTATCGTCGTCGGCCGGGACGACGGGACGAGGCAAGGCCGAGGAGGCGCGGGAGCGTCGCCAAATCGAGAAGCAAATCGCGCGGTTAGTCTCGCGCGAGGACGATCGGATTTGCGTGCACTTGGACAGCGAATTGCGAGACGTGCGGCCCGGTAACCCGGCCCATAAATTGCAAGTTCTGATTGGGATTTACGAGCGGAGCGAGGAAGCGAGCACGCGCGCACGTTGCGCGCTCTCTTTAAAACGAGAGAACTGCACGAGGCGCACCGCGAGTCTTCCAATCGGAATTTATGATCGCGAATCTCCCGAAAGAAAAGAGGAAAAACTGAGGAGGTAGGACGTAGACGAGCGGCGAATCTCGCCGGCGAGGAGGGGAATCCCACGTGCGAGCGGTCTGCACAGAACGCGAATGTTTCGATTTTTAATCCTCTTCGCGCTAACGTCTCTCGCCGTTTATACGCGGCCGATCGTTCCTTCGCGTACGACGTTTCCTGGGAAAATTCTTCGACAAACGGGAATTGCAGCTTTGCTCGATTTTACGATAAACCGCCGGTGAAGCCCCGATCTTTCCGGGAATATAATTCCGATCACGCAAACAGATACAACGACGACACATACCTTGTCCGACGTTTAATTTCAAGTAGATTTCACTCTAATGGACTTTCAGTGAGACTCGTGAATATTCAATTTCATGCAGGTTGATTATTCGCGATTCCGACGATTGTCCGGCTCTTGATTCCGGCGCCGAGATGGAACGGCACGGCCGTTTTGTGTTGTGCGAAGGACCCGCGGTGAAAGGACGAAAATTGTATAACACGCGGGAGAGACACAGGGGAGATTAATACGTGACCAGCTCCGGAGAACGAGGTTTCCGCGATGTTAATGCCGGTACTTTATGTCTCGAATTTTATCCCAGGCTTCACACCGGATGGGGTCACGTACTCCGATAGCACGGATCCAGATTTGCTGTACATGTGTTCCAGGAGATCCAACTCCTGTCAACTCCTGCCCCGTGAGAGAGTGCAAGCCGCCGCCGACAAAAACGACATGGCGCGGGCCGGAGGAGCGGAGAAATTTATGGATATAACATGAACGTTGCAAGTATCGATTATTTGATAAACCGCACCGCCGCAGATACGACGTCTGACTTTATTGCAGTGACTCTGTGTGATAGGTACAACTGACATACGTGTACTTCATATATAGTACAATATGTAGAGAAAAGAAGAGAGAGAGAGAGAGTGAGAGAGAGAGAGAGAGAGAGGGAGAGAGAGAGAGAGAGAGAGAGAGAGAGAGAGAGAGAGAGAGGAAGTCACGAATCAATCCGGATGAAACTTTTGACAAGAAATAGCTATTATTGACACAGACGGTGTCAATTTATTTTCTATCATTTTATTTTCGTTCGTGCCAGCCGATCGAATTGCGTCGTCTTTAGATCATCTCGAACGCGGTCTCATATTGAACGCGCCTGGAATGTCCGAAGCGAGACGGTTCGCCAATACTGGCGATATCAGGGTGCATATCTACAGGCGTGTAGCGATTGGATTACATTATTGGAAGACTTCAGGTCACTCGCACAATTTTATGAAGCGTCTAAAGACCCGAAAATACCCGTTACGAGCGATGCTCGGTATTTGCGCGCTCCGCTGATGTGCCTTGATAATAATAATAATAATAATAATAATACTCGATTGAAACTGACGTCACGTTGTGGGAATCAGCTGATGTAATTTTAATCTATAACGTTAAAGCTTAAAACAAGCACGACAGAAAATTAACAAACCGAGAGAACGAGAGGAGGAAGGAAGGCGCGTTAATTGAAAACAAACAATCAGTTACGTGCAGCGAGTTTAATACTATTCAAAATTACCGCTTTCAGTTGTAATGAGAACCTGCATCTTAACAAGAACCGTAGAGAGACATTAAGCGCGCTCTGTTTAAATATTCCGGCGTGCTCTCTTGTACATGCGAAAATTGTGACTCCGAATGATAAATTCTCCAGCCAAAATTTCGTGCGCGAATAAAAATGTCGCGACGGGGGAGCGTTTGGAGTGGAAGAAATTTATTTGAAATTTGGGCTGTAATTAAAATGTTCGGTCGTGACATATTTTACAAACGTATTCGGATATTCGGATTCACCATTTTTCGGTCGCGTGTGTAAACACGCCCAGTATAAATATTACGTACGTTTACTGACAAGACGGCGAGATGAAATTAACATGTATTCGCGTCGTTTCACGATCGAGATATTTACTAAA